CATCTCCGACTGGTTCAACCACGGCCACCACTGCCTCCGTACTCCTCCGTCGCCGCCGATCGATGATCTCAGCGGGAAACGATCGTTGGACGCCGAGAAACCCTCGCCGGCGAAATCCGCGGGCGAGAGCTCATCTTGGACGGATCCTTCTCTTTCTTACAGTTATACTTCGTCAAAGAGAGGTATTTACTTGTTCCTCGATTTGTATTGGATGATTGCTTTGAGAATTAAGGTTAATTTGGGAGCAAGATTATTGCTTGTTAAGTACACAAAGGTAGCAAAATTTTTGAGCTTCCATTCACGATTGGGATGATTCTTTTTCTGTTGATTTCTTGAATAACGCAAACTTATCTTGGGAATAAATGAGACGTACAGTCAGGGGCGGAGCCATTAAGGGCTCAAAAGGGCCCTGCCGGCCGCGCCCCTACATTCAATACACACACACACTAAGTTTTATGCATGTGCAGTACACTTGGTTAAATATCATGATTGAGTATTTTTAAATTATTTACTTAGTAAAATTTGTTCGTCGGTTCCACTTTGATGGTTTGTTCAGTAATGTATCTAAACTTTAGCATTGTGGTTATTTATTTTCTTTAATGTTCGTTTAAATGAGTTACACCCAATTTAAATACTTATGTTCATAATCGAATTGAGTTATAATGTTACTTAGATCGACATGAAACCAAGCTTGATCTGAGAAAGTATAGTGTTGTAAAAGTAAAAAACACTTGAAAAATAACATTATAAAAGGAGGATGAATAATTAAAGCTAATAAGACGAGATGATTGATAAAAAGTGGGCTAAAACGACACAGAAGGGAATATGGAGTTTGTTCCTAGTCCTTGATAGACTTTAAAAAAAATCATAAATTAAAGATTAATGCTAACTCTAATATAGTTTTTATGATGAAAGAATCCACATAAGCATATAAAAGTACTTAAAAAGTTTATGAAAATTTCTTCAAAATATTCCTAGTTTACTCAAAAAATAAATTCTATAAAATATTCAGAAAATAGTATCTCTCATTCCTTATGTTTTATTTTTTATTGAGCCGACATCAATCCTTTTTCACATTTATCTTTTTTAATAAAATTAGATTACTTTTAGATGCTAAAAAGGGATAGTAAACGTTAAATTGGAAGTTAAAGTTATATATGTTAATGAAAAAATATGAAACTACTCTTTTCTTTGCTAAGCTTTAAAATTTTAGTCTTTTCTGTGATTTTGAATTTTTGAGGGTGTGTTTTGCAAATTTTAAAACTTTAAGAGTATTTTTTTAAATTTTAAAATTTTAAGATGGGTGCTTGCAATTTTTATATTTCATGTATTGGTAGTAAGTTTTCGAATGTCAGGATTTTCTTGCAACTCTAAAATTATAGGGTGTTTTTTACAATTATTAAAACTTTGGATCGTTTTTTTATAAAATTTAAATTTTTAGCGATCTGCTAATAATTTTTAGATTTGATATGTACTGGTTATAAGTTTTGATCTCAGATTTGTTTTTGTAATTTTTAACTTTTGAAGGAATTTTTTGCGGTTTTATAACTTTGAGGCTATTTTTTGCAACTTTTAAATTTTCAGGTGTCTCATGGTAATCCATTGAATTCATTTTTGTTGTTTGGAAGTTTTGAAATTTCAGAATTCTAAGGTTACTTTTTTATTATTTGAATTTTTGAGGATATTTCTATAATTTTTGAAACTTTAGGGGTATTAATTATAAATTTTAAATTCTTCGTAGGTTGCTGTTAATGTTCAGATTTCATGTTTGTTGTTTTAAGTTTTGAAACATCAGGATATTTTGTGTAAATTAAAATTTGAGGGTATTTCATGCAAATTCGGAAACTCTTTGGGATTTTTATAATATTTCATATATTATAGCATGTTAGTTCTTTACATTAACAAACTAATACCATGGAGTTATTTTATATATTTTATTAATCTTTTTTTTTTAAAATTATTGAGTTGTAGATAGTTCACATGGGATTAAGATAGGATATAATTATGATTATGATAGATTAAGATTTAAATAAAATATTCAAAATAGTGAAGGGTAATATTGACCATGAAAAGCTCTTTTCCAAACTTGTACTTATATATATACTAGTTTTTACACACGTGCAATGCACGTGATTTAATACCATGATTAAGTATTTTTGGCAGTTTGTGCTCATTTTTTTCTTTAAACTCTTATATCCCGATTATTTTTTTATGTTTGTTTAAATGGGATACACCCAATTTAAATTTTCATGTTGATATTTGAATTGACAAAAAACAAATATAATTTAAAAATAATTTGAATTTTCATATTATTTTTGACCGATATGAAACTAAGCTTTATTTGAGAAAGTATAGCATTGCAAAGTGAAAAATATTAAAATAGTGTTATACAAGGAAGGTGAATATTTAAAATTAATATGACAAAATGATTGATTTAAAGTATGTTAAAACGATGCAAAAGAGAATATGAAGTTTATTCCTAATCATTGATAGACTTCATAAAAAAATATAAATTAAAGATTAATGCTAACTCTAGTATACTTTTATATGATAAAAACATCCACATTAGAATATAAAAGTACTAAAAAAAATCATGAAACTCCCTTCTAAAGATTCCTAATTTCACTCAAAATAATTAAACTATTCTATAAAATATTCATAAAATATTCTTTTTATTTCTTCTATTTTAATTTTTTATTGAGTTAAGATCAATCCTTCTTCAGGTTTATCATTTATCATTTCTCGGACAATTCTAGAGTATTGTCTTCATCATCTACATCAATTGTGACATCAGGCTAATTTTGTATTTTTTATGCTATTATCTTTCCTAGGCTCGTTAATTTTTTATCATCTCATTTAACTTTACAAAGAAGTCAAATGTACTTATGATGTTCAACACAAACTGCTCAAAATATAGACTTTGATTTTTTTCTATTTCAATGAGAATAAATATTAATTTCATATATATAAAATTCTTTGTGTTCCTAATTTATTACTTAAATAAATTAGAAGCTATCTCTTTATTTTCCTCTAAAATGAATTCTTCTGATGTGCATCCAATAAGAATTTCTGTTATTTCAATAATATTACCTTTGCTCTATCCCTGTCATTTTCCATAAAGATCTAAACTAAATACCTGCATTATTCATTACCAATTTCTCTTAGATTATAATATTAATATTTAATTTGAAGAACACAGTATGGAATTTATGAATACTTACTAATTTTTCTTATGTCTTCCATGGAGATTTTTTCTTTGATTAGGATAAAGTTATTAAATTATTTTTTAATGTAACTCATTCAGTGCTTCATTAATAGATATGTCTTATGTTAATGCCAATTCAAGTGATTCATTGACGTTTTCTGAATTTTAGATTTATTTCCATCACTTTCCCATTTGCAATGGAAATAACTCAATTCTTTTAAAGTTATCTCTAAATATTCTAATAGTTTCTCCATATGTAATTCCTTGTATTCTTTTACCCTATAAATATTATTAACGTCAAAGATTAAAGTTTCTAAATTAAAATCAATTAATGCTAAGGTATAATATTATAGTGTTTTATCATTTCTATGGATTTAAACATCTATCAATTAATGTTACGAATGTATTTTGGCTACCCCAACTTATTACTAAAATTATATGAAATTACTTTAATTTATATAGTGCCGATAATTTTTAATCTATAATATTTTTAAAAATTTTATCCATTAACCGGATGTTTTTAATCAATTCTTATTGTTTTTGTTTACCAGTATCAACTTAGACTATTCTTAGATGCTGAAAATGGATAGTAAATCCCTAAATTAGAAATTTTAATATATATATATATATATATATATATGAAAAATACCAAACAATTACACTTTTCTTTGCCAAGTTTTAAAATTTTAGCCCATTTTTGTGGTTTTGAACTTTGAGGGTGTGATTTGTAATTTTTAAAATTTTGAAAGAGTTTTTTAAAAAATTTACTTTTAAGTTTGGTAGTTGTAAATTCTATGTTTCATGTGTTGGTGGTAATTTTTTAAATGTTAGTATATTTCTTGTAACTCTAAAATTTTGAGGGTGTCTTTTGTAATTATTAAAACTATAGATTAATTTTAAAAAATATTAAATTTCAGCGGTCTACCAATCGACGAATTTGATGTGTGCTAGTTAAAAATTTTGAAAATTTAGAGTTTTTTTACGATTTTTAAATTTTGAAGGAGTTTTTTGCTAGTTAAAAATTTTAAAAATTTAGAGTTTTTTTACGATTTTTAAAATTTGAAGGAGTTTTTTAAAAATTTTGAGGTTAATTTTGGCAAATTTTAATTTTTTAGGTGTCTAAAGGTAATATCTTGAATTCATCTTATTTTATTTATAAATTTTAGAATTTTAGGGTGGTTTTTTTTAATTTGAACTTTTGAAGGTGTTTTTATAATTTTTGAGATATTGAGGGTGTTAATTAAAAAAATTAAATTTAAATGTCAAAAATTTTAGGTGTATCATGGTAATCTCTTGAATTCATCTGTGTTGTTTGTAAGTTTTAAAATTTTAGAATTTTAATGTGCTTGTTTGTAATTTAAACTTTTGAGGGTGTTTCTATAATTTTTGAGACATTGAGGTGTTAACTGTAAATTTTAAATTCTTTGCAAACTGATGTTAATTTTTTAATTTCATGTTTTTTATTTTAAGTTTTGAGACATTAGGATGATTTTTATAATTTTGAACTTTTCAGGGTCTTTTCTGCAATTTTAAAACTTTTTATGGTTTTTTTGCAATACTTCATGTATTATAATATGTTATCTACTATATATATATATGAGAAATATGGGTATGTTTGGTAGTGATGTGTTACATCCCTATCCACTCACTACCCATGTGAATTTGTTCCCACATTTGAATGAGTGGAGGGGGATTTGACACCTCACTACCAGGCACAACTTTTTGTGCTTGGTACCAAACATACCCATATTTCTCTCTCTCGCTATATATATATATATATGGGTCTTTTGTTTCTATATTGGTCACTTAAATCTTTCATATTTTGAATTGGTCCCTCAAATCATAGGAAATCCTTTTAGGTCCCTTAATTCTTAACTTATTTTGAAATCAATCCCTCCAATCAAGAGTAAAGGTAGCAATTAAAGGGATTACAAAGTAAAGATCTATTGATGCGGATTGCTCCTCCAATTCTCATAATTCTTTTTTAATTTGATTTCTCCTCCAATAGCTATTTATATTTTTGGGTGGAGGGACTAATTCCAGAATATGCCAAATTAAAATTGGGAGACCTAATAGCAATTTCATGATTTGAGGGACTAATTTCAAAAGATGAAAGGTATAAGCGACTAACATGGTGGTTCGATTATGGAAAGATTTATCGAAAGAGGTCGAATATCTTTTATTCTTGTGGATAAGGGTTTCACTATTTTTTGGACTCTCCTTGTCGAAATTCTTGGCTCCGCTACTGCATATAGTGACCATAATTTGTTGTTTAAGCAAGCAATTGTAAAGACTAGGGGGTTTATGCTGAAAGTTGACATCATATGTTCAAGGACAAAATCTTGATTTGTACAACGTTTTGATAATTTAGGTTCATCCGGAGTAAGATTGTTTGATAAGAACACAAATTTAGCAACATTTTTAAGCTTCCATGATCGATCATGACGATTGTTTATCTGGTAGTTATGATCAGTATGTTAAATAATACAGAAACAGAAAGTTCCGAATTTTATGTAGAACACCCATCTGTTGGTTTCTTGAAAATATCAAATTTATATTGGGAGGAAATGAAAGATATAGTGAGCAGAAATGTGTTGTTTTGGGCTTTCAGCAAACAATAGGAAAGATTAAAGAGCATTAGTTTACTGGTAGACTTACACAGTTACAGTAGGGCTTGAACATTTGAGCTGATCTCTATGCACAAGGTCTTGGTTCAGTATCTCCAAGCTCTAGCACTGACCTGGATTTCTCTTGGGTGTTAAATTTCTGTGCCAATATTGACCCGCTTGTCTTCAGATCAGTGTAAATTGATGAGCACTTGGGATGACGATTCAAAGTAATAACTCAATTTGAGAAATATTTAGGTTAGCTTATGTAATCTATTTTGCATATAAATGTCATGGCTTCATAGGATTTGAAGATCAACTGCAGTAGCAGGTTCTTGAGGTCCACCCTTATCCTAATTTAGTGGCTGATGTCAATTGAATCAACCTTTTAAAGTCTTGATCAGAGGACTGTTGTGAAATGTGGGGACACTCGTCATTAATTGCAATTTGCAAGATCCTGTCAAGATTGCATTGAGGGATTTGGCTCTGTTTTATCCCAGTGATGCCTTGCTGTGTATGTTGGTAAAATATCAGCATCTTCATCGCGGAGATGTTGATGCTGCCTCCCGTGGAAATAGGCACCATGCTAGAAGCAACTTGGATACAGCTATATATTTCCCTTCTTGTTCTTCAATTTATCACCATGTCCATTCATATAAATGCAATTTTCTTTTTCCATTTTTGACGAGAATGTCAATGTAAAATGGTGCTTTTTGAATCCTACCTTATTGCTAGAATTGGCCAAGATTTTTCATATACGCAGTTGGCATTTTCTTTCTCTTTGCATTTTTCTTCTATTTTCGCTTGATTTTAATTTCTGTGAGTCGTTATTTTAACTTCTTATCTGTTCTGTAAAGACTGCATTCTGTTCTATTTGCAAATTTTTTTGCCAGTATACTGTCACTTAGAATGGTTGCAATATCAGATGTACAATTCCAAAAAGTGCAGTAGAAATACGCATCCATCATAAAGATGTAATCAGTGTGCTTCACAATGGAGTCTTGTACTGGACAATGATGTTATACTATGTACTCTGCATGCATCAGTTCACATATTCATGCTCACACGAGGAAGTTTCTGTCCTTCCCTTGTATTCTGATATCCTTGAACACTGAGTAAGCCTCACCCTGCTGTTCTTTTTACCTCCATTACGATAGATCTTTCTGAGAACATGTGTTTTGCATTCCCTAACATTATCAACAACGTGCTTTTCTGGCTATTCTCCTTGTTTTTTTATAGATAATTAAGCAAGTCCTCATAAACTTACTTTTTAAAGTAGGCTACAATCCAGTTCTGGGAAGTCCTGGTTAGCGGCAAAAGCTTTTTCAATGAAATGATTTTATGATCCTCGTGTTCTTTGTAGATCAATCATCATTTTTTTCCTTTGTCTGTGTTATGTTGTTGTAGAAGTTGCTGAAAGTTCTTTGGAAAATAGAGATTCTTATGGTCCTTGGCATGGAAAGCATGTCGATTTCTCAGCAAGACCAGTTAACACCAGATCAGATTCCTCAGCTTGGAGAGATGAGCTCGCAACAGCTTATGAGGTCAAGGCTAGGGACTCCTGCAACAATGGGATGTCCTACTTTCAGTTATCCACAGATCCTATTCTTTGTTATCCACCTACAACATGTTCCTCGTCTGCCAATGGATTCACTCCAGAGACTAGTTCTCAATTGCATTTTTTACCAAGAAACAGTTATTCGACTACTCACAAGGAGAATTTGTTAGATAACATCGATGACAATTTTTTTAACCATAAGTTGGGCAACAAGAAGGTGCTTGGCATGGATCAATATTCCGACAGTAAAGAGGTTCATGCGAAGGATGGTAAAGCAGATAACAACATGAAAGGACCTACCTGGAATTTCTCAATGGATAAAACATGCTCATCGTTAGGAAATGAAGTAACAAGCGTGAATTCATTGGGCTATTCAACAGAGGTGACAAATGAATTTGGAACTAAACAGTTGAACTTTATGGAGTCAATTGCATCTTCATCCAGGCCTAAAAATTCCTTGCAAATTTCTTCAGAAATACTTGATGAGCCCAATCTTACTGTAGATTCACCATGTTGGAAAGGAGCCTCCATGTCTCAAAAGTATTCGTTTGGAAGTGAAGTGAAGGATTCAGGAAAAGGTTCTCAAGGGTTGAATGGAAATGGGAATCAATTAAGTCAGTTAACTGCCATTTCATCACCTGAGCGTCCTTTGTTGGAGATTGAAGGAGCTAATGCGGAGACAGTTGTTACTGATGCCACTCAAGATAAACCATCCAGCCCAAATCTTTATTCTGAAGATCATATCAGGAGTTTATCAGAAACCAGACCTGATCTTGTCTCGGCTGCCAAATCAATAGATACAGGACTTCTTCTTCAGGCAATGCATAGCTTATCTGAAGTGCTTTTGTCATCGTCTTACAGTGGTGGTGTCGAATGGAAGGAATGTGATCATGAGCTTGTCCGGTCTGTAATTAACAATCTCGAAGCTTTCACCAGTAGGAACAGAAAGGTACATTGTTTTAAAAGTCTACCATGCTCTTTATAATTCAGTACTAATTTGCAACTGCTGGTCATAACTAGTCTGCCCAGCTTCAAGGAAAGCTGTTTGGCATCAATCTGGTTTCAGAAACTTTGACAGAAAAGCTTTTCACATGCTATTTATCTACTGATTCATAGAACCTGTTAAACCATAGAACACTTTTACACTTAATCTTGGGAGTAAGTTTTCTCAAGCATTATTGTTTTGACCATGATACACAAATCTTTGTGCTGGCTGTCGCATCTTTCCTGTCGAAGTGATATAATTAATTAGGTACTGGATTTCATGGAAAAGAATTAGGGCTATGTCCTATTGTTAAAGCCGGGAAAGGGACTAGAGCCTTATCTAAGGCCTCATGAAAATTGAGCCTTCTGGCACCAGCCCTTAATCTTTCCTAAGATATGTAGATTTTTGTACATACGATTGGAGTTTTCAACCTCTATTGTTCAGTATTGTATTATCCATTTGAAAGACTATTCTTTCTTATTTCATTTGTTGAATGGCTTTGTCCTTTGGGGTTTATTAAGGTATTTTTATACACCAGATAACTTTTACTAGGCATGTTACATGTGGGAAGTTTAACCGTTGAGGGTCATGACATATTCCTTTTTTAGAAATATCTTTCTCCGCTGAGAGGATTCTCCCTGCCTGCATAATGTCCTAGATCCATGCTTTCAAGGATCAAATATTACAATTGCATGAGGTGATATTAGCTCCAAGCTTTTTTTTAAATTGTCCAGTTGTTTGTTACTGAAGTCTTCTTCTGAGGGCAGTCCTAAATGTAGTTCCCATGCTAATGATACTCTCAGGTTTCAGTTTCAAAATCTAATGATACTCCCAAGAAACCAACCAACACAAGTTCTGAAGAAAAAAACCAGGGGAAGAAAATTGAGAAGGTTGACATAGGATCTAACAGAATAACTGAGGTATTGTCAGTACTTCATTAAATTTTCAGTAATTCCCATTAAATTTTGCAACTCTCTTACGATAGTTTTATAATTTGTTTGCTTTATAAAGCAGGTAACCATGGAAGATCTGGAGAATGACATCTTTGCTAAGAAGGAAGAAAACCCTCAGGTAGTATTATATAAAAATCTATGGATGCAGGCAGAAACTGCATTGTGTTCGATGAAGTACGAACTTCAACTTGCACGCATGACACTTGAGATGGAGAAGAACGACTATGAGACAGAAGGTGAATTTGAAGGAACTAATTTGATAACTTCCCAGATTATTTTAGTTTTTCAATTATCTTGTTAGTTGAAACCTATTGTGATCATTTCAGAAAAGGACCCCGTACAACTGATGAAATCACCAGTGTTCATGACCCCAATGCACAGTGGCACGTCCTACTCTGTGGAGAACGATGGAGGTAAAAGCAGTGAGCCAAAACAAAAAGAGCAGCAAACAAGCAGGGATGATAGAATCGAAGACTCCGTTCTGGCTAGACTAGAAATTATACAAGGTCGTCATTCAAATCAGAAAACGTTAGCGTAGAGGACCAGGTGAGAAAACGCAGAAGAAACCTAATGCGGTTTGTATTGGGATATTCCCTCAGTGTGTACATATATCCTGAAAACAGCGAGTAACCACGAAATAAAAAGCTCTACATCTTGTGAGGAAAGTTTTATGGCTTATTCAAATGTAAATAGTCCTCATCTGATGTATGCACAAATGAATTTACAAATTTGAGTACTGTTTGACAGGATGTTTGGGGGAGCTTTTTTTTTTCCTTGTCAAACTGGCTTTTAAGCTAGCTTTTCCATATCTACTTGTTTGGTAAACTATCAAATAAGTTAGCTTATTTTTTTGTCAATGCTTTAAATTGGAGTCTGCATGAGGTTTTCTTTGTTGCAGATCTTAGTATATGTTCTCATGCAGTTATATATGCATGAAAAGACCATGTGGTATTTTGGCGCACATATATTTAGGACTTTAGAGCTATAGTAATATGATCTTCGTTCTGGCCTACAAGTGCCTGAAGTTTGCCCACAAATATTTTCTATATGAACTTAGCAGGCGAGGTATGAACCTGGACACGTACCGTCAAGTCAAGTATTGTATTTGGATCATTTTACGCTCAACAGTATATTCGCTATGTAATACTTGTTTGCTAAAAGCTCCTCAGGTACTTGCACGGTCAGAAATCATGTATATTTGTTCCAAGGGTGGTTGGCTCATAGTATAGGTTCGTCAGTTTTCTCCACATCCGGCTTCTTTGTTCTCTTCTAAACTGATACGCATCTAAACTGATACGCGATATAAGAGGCATGATACACAACATTTCAAGTAAGGACATGGATGTTTTCTGGATCATGCATAGTATTTCAAACCGCGCTATGTTGATCACGCATGTAATTCCCAAATCCTATCAATTGTGCTATGCAGATTGAATATTCTCTCGTTAAAAGATCGTCATTTCGTTCCGATCATATGAATCAGATAACAGCAAATAAAAGCCCACCAAACCTTTCTCAACTCGGCTTTCAACAAGCAAAACCAAACTTCTAGTTCAATGTATACATTTACTACCTTACACTCACACCACTGAGAACAAAGTCTTTTATCTCAAATTTTTGGGATTGACTGCACAACTCTTATTTATTGCCATACACATGTTAGTCCTAACCAAAATAAGCAATTAACAACCCTACAATCCTTACCTTATCTCTCCCTTTATCCCAACTAATCACCCCAATCTTCCCCATTTTCGCCATTGCCTCATCGAACTTCCTCTTCCAAACCCTACCGGGTTCTCCCCAACCCCGACTCAACCCCCTCCCTAACCCTCACCCGAGTTGCTCAATTCAACCCGAGACTTTGATCGGAGGTGACAAGGTCATGGGTGTTGAGAATGTCGTGGTAGTAGCTTGTGTCAAACTTTCTAGGGGGTTGAGGGTCCATTAGGACCACAATGCTAGTGTTATTTTTGGATTTCGGGCGGTTGGCGATTGAGAGTTGATGCATAGCATGGTTGAGTTGAAGCTGTAGCCTCTTTTGCGAAATGATGTGCAGTGGGAGCGGCCAATTGTACGTGCTCCTGTGTAGTCAAAAGTTTAACATACATTACTGAAAGAACATGGAATCCAAAAATATGTATAACAGTATAAGCAGATGGATAGAACAAATACCATATCAGCAACAGCAACAAAGTCACCGGTTTTCTCAGTCGCTCCTTTTTCCCCCCAGCTTTTTGTTGGCAGGAATACAAAAAATAACAAAGAATATTACACCAGCCAAAAAGATTATGAGGGGAAAAGAGATAAATATTGTAAAGTTACAACCCTCAAAGCTTACAAAAGTGATGCCCAAACATAGAGTAAACAAAAGAAAAGCTAGAAAGGAAAATAAAGCTTAAACTTATCATACAAAATGGAACAGAGACTATACTTTTGAGAAGAATAAATTAGATTCTTTCCATGCATTGCCTAAAGCTTGTCAGTTCCAGAACAAATAGAATGAAGCTCGTTCAAACATAAAACAACGTTAAAAGAATTACATCAATGAGCAACATAGCAATTGGCCAGCTCACAAGAATTGACTATAATGCAATATAAACGTACCCATCAATTACCCAAAATCGATTTCATTGTTTCTTAGTTTGATTACTTTTCTTGTCATTGTTACTATCAGGATAGCATCTACTGAGAAGCTCCAGGAGAAGAACAGCAGCAGAGTCTTTAGCTTTCTTCACACTGGGCATCGACTCTCCTATGCACTCATCGGTCCAACCTCGGTCTGTAGTATTAACTCGAACAGCATAAACAAATCTCTTCGCGTGAGCAGGACCTCCTTCATTAACACACCGATATTGAGGCATTGGCCATTGTTTCCTCAAGCAAATATCATTGAGAGCTTGCCTCGTGAAAATAAGATTGCTTTTCTTATCCCCGTTACTAGTTTCATCTTTAGAAGATGCAATCTCCATCTCTTTCTCCTTTTCCATTTCCTTTTCTTTTAAGGCTAAGAGCGCATTTCTTGCGGCTAATTTCTGGGCCATTTTCTTCTGTGGGTTTTGAGCGACCCCGATTTGTACTCCATCGACAAAAACTTCTACAGTTGCCACATTTCCTGCACGTGTGGCTTTGTATTCTAAGCCCTCGGCTTGTTGCTGACATCTCTCTTGGAGTTCTCTTACGGGGTGCATGGGAAGAGTCTCTGGGGTCACCATCGGATGTAGCAAAGGTTGAAAGACCTAATCAAGAGAAAAAAAATTCATCATGATTGAGATCAGTTTTATAATTGTTTGGGATAAAATTGCATATAGACCCCTGTTGTTTGAACTAATGACCCCTGTAGTAAATTGTTCCGCACAGACGCCGAGTTAAATTCTTTTGACTCTTTCACCCTTGGTGAAATTTTGGCAGATATTCCGCAGGTGAAATTAGTAAAAGTGTACGAGGGTAAACGAGTAACCTAGGGGTGTCTATCTGCAACAATAAAACTACAGGGGTAGTCAGTTGAAAACAGTGATACTGCAGGGAGTCTTATGTGCAATTAATAGCAGTTGTTCTCCGTATTATGATCTAGATGGGAAATTACCTGCCAGACTACTGAAGTGTCTCGTCCATTGTCAAGGAAAATGGCACCAGCAATGGATTCCACGATGTCACCAAGAACCTTGGGAGCCTTGCAGTCCCCAAGACCAAAAGAATTGAACCCTGGTTTCAGTAGCTCCTCTTGAACATCCTTCACGAATTCTCGGATCTATCAACATAGAATGAGATGTTATCCGGAGGAATAATAATGACAGCTGCGATAAGCTGATACTTTTCTTATTCATATGTAAATGTAACGAAAGTGCAAATGTAGTCTGATACGTAAGGCATGGACTCATTGCATCTGTTCCATTTATTTAGGTTATGTAACTTTCTACGTTTAACCAATGTGTACAACATGTGATCTGTTGACACGGATACAAAAATCTTGAAAAATAAGGATCCCATATCATTTTTAAAATATATAAATATGACATCTTCTACCTATATATAAAGATGAAAACTAAACGATGCAGAACTGAAATTGCTAATATTATGATATAGTTAAGATACAACCATTAAGGCGCCGATCCTCTGTCACAATACAAGTTTCCATTCCTCAAAATAACAACTTGATCAGGTGCGATCATTTGAACATTTAAAAACTGAGGGCATTAGGAACTTCTGAATTCTACAGGCTAGAGAAATTTAGATTTAGAGAGAGGCTTAAGTTGGTTAACCTAGTTGCCCTTTCTAGAAGGGCTAAGAAAATAAATTTCAAAAATCTGTTGAGGGAAATCATCAAGTTATTCATGCATGGTGGCTGCAGGAAGGACTATCAGCATGCTGTATGTCCATGCAAGCAGATAGATTATCCATTAGCCCTTAGAGAGGAAGTTTAGTTAACCTATCAGATTAAGGAGTTTAACTTTTCTTAACCCATTTAGATGCTATGTTATCCTTGGGCTAAATTGGTCTTTGGTAAGTCAAGACAGAATTTATCATCCTTTAATTTATATACTGTCCTTGGTTTTTGACATGTTAGGAAGGGCAAAGGAAAATTTCTGAAGGATATAAACCATATCAAAGATGGCCAGACTTCATCAAAGCAATTATTTGAATCTTCAAGGCTGCAAATATGAGACATCAAAGCAAAACTCAATGTAAAAGAGAGAAATAATATCCTAACCTGTGCTTCAAGGGCACTTGAACCATGTCGAAGGTGAACATGCAGTTTGTTCTTAACAGCAACCCTAGCAAAGTTTTCATTGTTAACGGCAGCCAGCCGCTCTCAGGTCAGTCAGTCTCCCAGGAGGCAAATTGGTGTATGTGAAAAATAAATGCCTTGTTATGAGATGATCCAAGACAGCATCACCAACAAATTCCAGTCGTTGATAACATGAAACCCCAGAAGAGGGCCTTGAAGCATGAGTTATTGCTTCAACCAGCAGGCCCCTGTCTTTGAACTTCACATTCAGGGCACCTTCCAGCACCTCAAAGTCAATACTCCTCATTATGCTCTCAGGTACATCATGAGGCTTCATATCTTCCAGCTCTCCAGGATCAAAATCCACCTGAATCCCAATCCACCTCATAAGGTGGTTAGCAGCATTCTTCCCCCCTTCTACATAATATACCCCAATTAGAGCCTCCACGACATCAGCTAGTGTTTTGCTCGAGAGAACTCGATAGCAGCTCGAGTCAGCCTCAAGTTCACCATCCTCCTTTAGATCATCATAATCATAATCATCAACTCCCTTACTTGTTTCTACATTTG